GTCTTTTTTTTAGATTATTTGTATGCAAAAATTACTGAACTCCAATCTTTAAAGGCATTCCATGCAACCTTTTCAAACATTTTATATCAATGAATGTCACTAAACGTTACTCAGACCCCCAATGCCTCTGAGGCCAGAATACCACATTGCAATGTGAGAGTTGCCGGTCCGGTCCCTGTTGGACTTAATATGCATGTTTTGGATCGTGAACACAGCTGATTAGTTTGATTTAGTGATGACCCTCTCCTGTAGAAACTAATAAAGGCAGAGGAGACATTTCAGCTGTTAGATTAAGATGTTAAAAAGACGAATGCACAGCAAGGAGATCATATTCACTTTTGCTTTCACTAACAGACTCTAGAGGGTGCTAAAAGCAAGGCAAACTGCTTGGTGTTGCTTTGAACTCACAGGATTTTACCCAGACGGTAATCAATGGATAAGACTTTTGTTGCAGATTTACTTTTGAGGACATTTGAGGACATATGAACACCGTTCTTCACTTACGTTAAGAAAATGACATTTTAAAACCATCACATTTAATGATTTTATTGTTGGTCTCACTGAAAAAGCTGCAGTTCTAAGGTTCCCTCGTTTATTCCATTTTCTCTCCTGGTTGGATTATATCTCCTGAGAGGTATCTTTTGTTATGTCACTGTAGTTCAAATATATTTTTGTTTTAAAGATACTGCTAACTTTAGTTGAATAGAAGTATTATGGTTGCCTGGTAAAAATTTAATAAATATCTTTTTTGGGGGAAAAACATGAGTCGGTTTAGGATCCGCACTACTAAAAATGAGACTTAGGAAATATCAGACATTTAACTGAGGGCTAATCAGCATTCAATGATGTGCGTTAAACAGTTCAATATGTTGCAAAATAAGACCATATCAAAATGGCTCTTGCTATCATGAAGGAATATTTTTCCTTCATTTCTAGCATACAGACGTTAGCTCATGTGAGCTGCTGCAGATTCAGCTTCTGTAATAAGAAGCTGCAGCGAGAAAGGGATTTAAAATTTGAATATGGTGCACTTGTGTGATTTTAAAGCCTCCATTTTTGTTTATCTGCACAAATAAGTTATTTAAAAACTTCAAATTGCTTTCAGGTTTATGCATAATTTTAAACAGGTCCTGTTTTTTTATGATAATTATAGAAATTACGAGAGTCAGCCTAGGGGACGAAAGAAAATCAATTACCTTTCTTAGTGCACATACAAAGAAATGAGGAATTTTAACTAATTTTAAGGAGGATTGCAGTTTTCTTGCAACTGAAATTGTTCAATTGCAAATATGTCTATTTTATTTCACATTTTCTCTATGAAATACATAAAATTTACTTGTTTTTGCCTAGTCTTCAGAAAACAAGCTAAACAAGCTTGCCAGTGATCATAAACTCTCTATATAAATAGAGCAAATGACAAATCTCCTATGTGCCAGGACAAGTCATGGAGATAGTCTGCCTCATGATAACATGTGGGAGAGCAGGAGAGACTCTGGTAAGATGAGTTTGTCATGTTGGACCTCTTTTACTCCCTTACGCCAGGCGAGAGCTGTTCGCCTTGTCGCCTCCAGCTCCAGCGTCTGCTGCTGACGAGTCCCGCTGTCACTCCGGTCGTCACCATGTCACGAGAAGCTGCTCTCCACTGCAAACGGCTCATGACAGGCATTCAGCTTCTTCTCTGTGCTCACCTGGAGAAATTTTCCTGCTCACTCCAAAATTTATAATCTTTAAAATCACAAGCAATTCTTCCATGTGCAAAACCAACTTTATCCTGTAATAAAATAGTTTAATTCAGATTTGTGACTTCAAGTGCACGCTAGCTCTCCTCTACCAGCAACGTGTAAAATATTAGGTTTAATGAAAAGAAACACATTTTGAGGATAATATCTTTTTTGATGCATTGCTGGAGGCAAGAGGAATAAATGCATGCAAAAAGATCTACAAAACCAACAGAGAGGCGTTTCAAATTGAACCTCCTCAAATGAAAGTAATAATGAAAATTATTTTCAGAAAGTTGGGATTTCAATATATATTCATAAAAAGAACACATCGATATTCACAGATCAGAGGTGCAGCGTGAAGGAACAGACTTACTAGAGACTTATGCATTTTAAATTAGATGTGTCTGCAGGAGAAAAGGCAAACTACTTAGTTATAATAAGAGCTGAAGGTGGATGACTGAATGACGTTGGAAAATCTGCATCCAACCATCCATCCATCTAGAGAATGGTACCCAGAGCGAGGTGCACTTGAATTTGCTGCAACTGAAAATAAAATCTAAAAACATAACTTTTGCCTCAATTAAAACACAAATTGAAGATGTTTTATTTAGTGTGTATTGAATCTGTTTATTATATGAAGCCTAAATTCTTTAGAGAACAGACCAAAGAATCATTTATTGAGTGTAAATATGAGTTTTTACAAAGTTTAGAGTGAATCTAAATGAGTGAATCTTTAATGATATTAAATAAGTAAGCTGATGACACAGTTTATAGTCATGTAGCTTGTTTGGAAAATTATCCACAATAGATTTAAAAAACATGCATTTTGTGTAATAATTTGCAAATTACTGCACATTTTTATGAGAACTAAAAAAATCATTTAGGATAAGAAATAAAATATTTGCAAAATGAACTTTAAAAAGATATTTTCATTTGCCCTCTTAATTGAAGTATCTCGCTGGGGTGCAGCAATTGGTGCCGAAACCCAAACCACATTTGTGAGAGGTTTACAGAAAGCCTTGAAACAATCAAGAGGGTTCTTAATTTTAATGAATTATGAGTTAGTTCAAAAATGTTCTTTTCTCAAAGTATGAAAAATGTGAGACATCTTTGAGGAAAGTTGGTGTCCAAAGTGACTAAAAAGGTACATAAATGGTTGAAATACAACTTAAAGGTAAACACACTTTAAATTTGTATAAATTCACATCAAGAAATTTTTAGTAGTTGATGAAGAGTCATTTCAGAGCGTTTAGAGGGATTCATGCTGGAATTATGACTGTAGCCAGAGGCAATCTTTCAGGTAATAAAAAGACTCCATTATGGGCTCGACACACGGGAGGCGACATCGCCTCTCCTCCATTCATTTTCAATGAGACATGCGCGACAAAGCGATAATCGCGGGTCTCCCTCCTACCAAGCGAAACGCGAAAAACGTGCGTGTGAAATTTTGCGCTCGTGCACGTGTCGTGCACAGGCGACCCAGCGACGCGATCCCAGAAAGTTGAAACATTTTCAACTTTTCATCGCTGTCACTCGGACGAGGACCAATCAACGGAGGTTTCATTCACTGACCAATGAGCGGACAGGATGCTCCGTACATCTCCGAGCAAACATGGAGGAGAAGTTGATTATTATTATGTTTTATATAGTAAAATCAGAAGTAAGATTTCACATAACTCTAGCAGCACCTTTTGAAACATCATATCTGCCACCTTTTAAACTCTGAACCGCTTAAATAACCTTAATTCCCTCCACCCTGACACAGCCAATCAAAACAACGGAAGTTTCGATTTCGCCATGGAACAGAACGCGTAGACGGCTTTGCCGCTGGCCGCTGCCGCGGGTCGCCTCCCGTGTGTCAGGTAATAAAAGCGACGGCGACAAATTTCGCTGATCGTGGTCGTTTGTCGCCTCCCGTGTGTCGAGCCCATTAATCGCTTCTCTGTTTGTAAAATATGAGGCGAGAGAAAGAGATTATAAACATGTAAAGTGAAGCAAAATGTCTCAGCTTGGTGAATAGATTAGATTATTTTTACTTCCACAGGGGTAAACCAGTTTTCAGGGCCCCTGATTTGGCTGAATGAAAAGGCCGATGGCTCAAACGCAAAGATCAGTGAGACAATATTCAATTCAATTCAATTAAACTTTATTATCGGACTCAAGGTCCGCATTAAAAAAAAGACATAAAAACGATACAAAAGATTTGAAAAGACACGCATACCAGTGTCTCCACATGGATGACTGGTAATGCACTGCACTAAAATGGGGGTCAACCAGCATCTGCACAAGTCTGTTTTTAGAGTTCTTCAATCGCAAGATAAACCTGTACATCAAATTCCTCATTATGGCTTGGAAGGTCCTGACATAATCATTACAAAATAAAAGACTTGCACTACAGGACTGAGGCTTCCCTAGCAGAGTCCTAAATGCATCGTTGAAGCTTATGCAAGCTGGCTTTCCTATACTTACACCACAAAGGTGCAGTATACAACGGTGTGCAGTAGGTTCTAAAAAGGTGGATTTTTATCCAATAAAAACCAAAGCTCTAAGAATTTAATCAACTTTCCAGTAATTATATATGATATAAAGTTTTATTCATGATTTTATTATTTTCTTGAAACAGGTCCACGTGTGAGGGGCGTGTCGGCCCGCATCCAAACATTTATCTCCTGTAATCACACAACACAGAGCCACAGAGCTCAGATGTATCAGTGATAAATGACTGGACGATTTCACAAAGATCTGTTTTTTTATGATTTTATTTTCTCTTGTCTAAGCTGTGTCACCGTATAAAAGTCAGGAGTGTGCTCAAAGCACCTTTCTGTTAGATTCTTAATCTGTAAATTCAAAAAGAGCCATTTCTTTAGAATAAAAAAATGAGGATGGATGGATTGGCCCTTTTTGGTGTCCCGTTTATTTGATTCGGAAAAATGTTGAGTCTTAATTAGGTGCAAATGCACTCATTAGCCGAAGCCACTCTGCAGAGACCAGTGGATGCTAATGAATTATTCAAAACCTGTCTTCCATACACGACATCAATACTTAGCGCTTCCTGCCTCCACGCTGCTATGCATTCTCATTTCCAATTGCATTCTGCCACTGTGAAATGAAGAGTATTTGAGTTTATCAGATGGGCCACTCAGAGAATACAAATCACTCAGATCTTTCATGTTCAGGTCAGAATATCTCTCCAGCCTTCTCTTCTCAGACCACTGTCATCTGCAGACTGGATTTAATTAGTTATGCCCCAGTAACTCAGCTTCTCCCATTTTTCTCCAGGATATGGCCATGCAGCCCCCAGCACAGATGGAGGGAAGGTTTTCTGCATGCTCTATGCTCTCCTGGGCATCCCGCTCACTTTGGTGATGTTCCAGAGTGTAGGTGAGCGCATCAACACTTTTGTCAGGTACCTCCTTCACCGCCTGAAGAGGTGCCTTGGAATGAGGCACACTGAGGTTTCCATGGCCAACATGGTGACCATTGGTTTTATATCCTGCATGAGCACACTGTGTGTGGGGGCACTGGCCTTCTCCCACTTTGAAAAATGGACTTTCTTTCATGCGTACTACTACTGCTTCATCACCCTCACCACCATTGGCTTTGGGGACTATGTGGCTCTGCAGAAAGATCAAGCTCTGCAGACCAAGCCAGATTATGTGGCCTTCAGCTTCATCTACATCCTGACGGGCCTGGCGGTGATAGGAGCCTTTCTCAACCTAGCAGTGCTGAGATTTATGACCATGAATGCCGAGGACGAGAAGCGGGATGCCGAGCAGAGGGCTCTTCTCGCCCACAATGGACAGGCAGGTGGGCACATCAACTGCTCTGTAGACCCAGCCTCCCCCTCCTTCACGCCGCCCGGCTGCGGCGGAGGGAGCTCGGTGGGAGGGAGCGGTGGGGGAGCCGCGAGCCGGGGCCTGCGCAACGTTTATGCCGAGGTGCTCCACTTCCAGTCCATGTGCTCGTGTCTTTGGTACAAGAGCAGAGAGAAGCTGCAGTACTCCATACCCATGATCATCCCACGTGACCTCTCCACCTCAGACACCTACATGGAGCAGGGGGAGGCTTTTTACAACCCTCTCCACTCTAATGGCTGCATATGCAGCATGCACCACTCGGGCATCAGCTCGGTGTCCACTGGCTTACACAGCATTAACACCTACAGGAGACTCAATAAACGCAGAAGCTCCATCTAACAACCAGAGGGACTTTAGTTCAATAAAGGAGGACCTTCTTATTCTGGTGTAAGGAACAATGGATGTCAGTTTCAGTGCTGAAGAGATTCAACACCCCAACCGTTAGCTAAATCCTACAGCTCCAGACTTTTCTGTTCTTTTCTTTTCAAAGCAAAACCCATTCAGCACCAACACTGTTCTTGTAGCCTCAGAAATCATGCTAACGGCTGTCTAAAGAGCATTTGCTCTTAGCAATATCTTTATTTTGAACTCAGCATTTAGAAAAAACCCCAGTAAGAAAACAGAAACGATCACTGTAAGACATGTTTTTAAAGACTGATTGGAGTGTTTTAACGGTTTTTGTCCTGTCAATGGAATAGGTCAGATTTTTTAAAACTGAGGTTCTGCAGAAAGCGTTATAATTGGCTTAGAGAAATACTTTAATTCTGACTAGATTAACAAGGAAACGCAGGATGGTTGCTGTTTTAAACAACTCTTTTAAAATATCATAGTAGCTCATGAGAACAATTTTATTAACCTTTCAGATTCCGAGCAGCTTCACATCACAATCATTTGATCATAAATGCTAACATCTTCCTGCTGGAAGTGCTCCAGCTACACTGGAAGTGCTAAAGCTCGCTGCTACTGTTTGTGCTGCAAATATCCATTGAGTTCTATGTAAATAATCACATGCAACACTGATGGCAATGCATTGATGTATAAATCAGTATTTGCATGAACTGCTATGAAATGTTTGAAGCTTTTATTTTGAAATCGCTGCAAATCTACTTTCGTCTTTTGCCTCACTTAAAAAAATCTGACCTATTGTTTTAGGAAAGAATGTAGAAACTTAGTCCCATATTTTCATAAAAAACTTTTCAAAATGAATCTTTAATTGCTTGTAGCATACTTGAATGAGTGAAATTTTAATCTGTATGTATCTTTGAATGGGTCATTTTAAGCTGTTATTGATGAAAAGCCTATTTTTTTCAGTGAAAGTCTCCCAAAAAAGCATCTTGGTATCTTTTCTGCATCTGTTTTAGGTCTAAGCCAAACTTTCTGATATGCGTTACATTTTTTCACAGTTCTGATGAAGAATATTAGTTTTCCTGACCTGAACAGTTGCACGTTTTGATCTGACGAGGATCGGATCTGCAAGTGTCTTCAAGGCCTCCTCGCCACCCTTTCAGACCTCATTACAAATAGCTATGAATTTATTTTTCATAGTATTCTTTTGTGCATTAATCTGTTTCATGTAAATCATATAACTCAACTATAATCTGAGAGTTTAAATGGGAGCGTGTGTGCTCATGTGTATTGTAGAAAGGCATATCGTATTCACTGCTGCACCTTAGAGGACTGTCGTGCTTTCAGACACTGGGACTCAGTGCACAAAGTTGTTTTATTTTATTTTGTAAAGGAATCACTGATCTGTTGTGTAAAAGATGAACCCAAAATGATTCTCATTTGTGTTAGAAGTCACAAGTGTTTGACTTGAAGGCCGTGTTGTTGATGTAGAAGTTACAGTTCACCTAACCATTAAAACAGCGTCAGATTTTGCACGTCTTGCACTTACGTACGAGGAGAAAGGGGGTCGTTGCATTGACCCCATCAAAACACACTTGACTCAGCCAACTGAGGTCTTTATGCAGTGTCTGTTTTATTATCTTCTGGAGGAATTTACATTTTCTCTTAATCAATTGTATTTTTGTTGTTTATCTTTCAATCCAGTTTATTTGAATTTATTTTGAATGTTGATGATGCCTGCTGTTCAGTGTGTCTCATAACTGAACCGTTCTATGTGATCATGCATTTACATGTTTCTTTGACTATATTAAAATATTATTTCATGTGAAACAAATGTTAACTGAGTGTTGATTTCTAAAGTTTCATCCGCTAACTTGGATGCTTCATCAGAATCTGAGCCCTACATCAAAACTTTGGAGAAAATGCAACTAACGGAAATAAATATAATAATGGCAAAGTGCCAACTCAGCTAATAATTACTTGATATTTTTTATTTCATGAGGGTTAAAAGTAACTCAATTTACTTATGCTTTAATTCTTGGATGCAAACTGTATTGTATTTTAATTCAAATTGTAATGTCCAGTAATGGTCAGTTTTTATGTACAGTTTGACCCTTCAATATCTGGTCGACATGGAAACACGAGTCTGCATGTGTTTCCTTTAATCTACCGGATCTTGCATCCCATCAGCTGGCTCAGAGTCTTTCTGCAGCTCTGAACACATGATAACGTATTGTCAACAATCACGTTCCCTCCTCAAGGCCCAAGCTTCCCTTATCGTTCTACAGGACTCTTCATGCCTCTGAATAAAGTGAACACTCTCAGCTCGGATTAGCTGCTTAATCAAAGAATGAACTCTTAAATATAATGTGAACATTTAAAACTTATAGGTTAATTAATCATTAAAGAATTATTTGGTTGATGAACAAATGTTATATGAACGCTTAATGAAATGTTTTGATTAATCTGTGAAATTGATTTATATATGGATCAGTAATGTTTTGATACGACAAGGCCATCATCATCTACACTCACACAAGGTTCATCAATGACAAAGTAAAGTTAAGTCAAACACGTGACACATAGATACTTTCTTACCCACAAATCAGAACCTCTGTATCTGAAAGACGGTGTGTGCTTCTGAGATTCTTGGTAATATCCCTTAAAGGAGACATAACATGCTTTTAAGTTATTCCTTTTTACATCTAAATCCTTCAGTTGGGGTCTAAATACAGTCGAGCTGCAGTTATTTGGTCTGATTTCATCATTATTGTTGCTCTACAGACCCTCATCTACCCCTGTTCTGAGGAGAGTCTTGAGAACGAGAACTAACCTCACTTCACTCAGAGATTGTTCTTTAAAACTCTATTAAATCCACTGTGTTGACGCACTTTAATGACTTTGTCACGCTGCATTTTAGCTGATATGGGACTTTATTTACTGGATGCTAAGATTACATCACACTCACGTAGAATAACACACAGGCTCTCTGCTGTTACAATCAGTGGAAGGTTATCATCTGGTGTAAAAGAAGGCGTTGATCAGAAATCCCAGATCACGTTTTATTTCACGAAAATCAGCCAAATCCACATTAATCTGGGTGCTAACTTTACTAGCATACTGTGCTAGCGATAGCAAGTCGGATGCTAACACTTTAGTGCTGCTAATGCCCGAAAATCTAAAGTAAAGTTTGTCGACATTTTAGAGTTATTTGAAGCTTACCGCTCTGCTGCTGTGTCCCGTTGCTGCCACATTCAGATGGAAATAACTCCTTCTAGATAGATGAAGCCCTCAGTACTTACTTGCCTGGGAGACACGAACGAACGCGCGCGCGCACACACACGCACACACACACACACACAGAAACACACTACGTTTTTCTTCTTCTTTTTTTTTTTAGCAGTTGTGTCATCAGCTCCTGGGTTTTAAATAATGCCACACCACCCTTCCTTAAAACGAGGAACAGTTTTGAGCTGTGTGTGGCTAAAATAACCAGACATTCTACATTTTTCCAACAGGACTACAAAAAATCTTAGTGAGAAGAAAAAATGGCGGATTGGCTCTGTGTTTAGCCAGGGCCATGACCATATTTGGTAGTTATCCTGACGAAATAAATTACTGATGTAATAGATCATTTGAAAAACTGAACGGGTGGACAAATATGCCCAAAACTTAATTATTAAATATCTAAATAGCAACTCCAGTGAATAATATAAGTCTTTTTGCTCACTTAGACGCTTAAAATGTGAAACACACTGTGTTAATGGATAAAAAAGTGGGTTTTTCATGTTATGTCTCCTTTAACATGGCACGCTCTGATTTGTTAAGAAATTAAGATGAGAATATAAAAACAGAACTCACTTCACGGTGAGTCAGTGTTCCAGTTGGAGAATGTTCTAGTTCTTCAGAGTTCTAGAGGAAGCTACGGAAATGGCCGTCCGTAGTGAAGTCTCTTTAACTAAGAAGCAATCTTGACACGCCATCAAGGTTGTTGTTGTTGCAAAGCTGACACAGCAAACGGTTCCTGCAGAACAAGCTGATTTTGTTCCGACTCCTTAAGAGTCCCAGACGCGCGGTTCCATCCATCTGTCGTGACCCGAGACATCTCTGGACTGGAGAAGTCGGTGCCGTGGTCAATCTACTGACCTGGGTGCCCTCTCTGACCTTCGGATCCACAAACAGGGTCTAAGAGAACGGGTGAAGTAGACACACAGAAAGCGTCTGATGCCTTTTGATAATAATCAACTTCATAGCTTAACGCAAAACAAATTATTTTACACCCAGAACTCAGCTCTCCCATATACGAAAGATCTGATAACATCACATTCACACATGGGCACCATATACCACATCTCCTCCATCTAGATTCATCCATCACAGTAAATATTAGTTAACTTGTCATGTTTTAATTTTTTGGGAAATAAATTCTTACCTTTACAAACCTGACTCTTTCTTGAATCAAAACGAAGTGTTTACCATCCCTGAATAAACAAGAATCATAGAATCTTCTGATTAAACCATACAAGACCAAGCAGGTTGATATTCTATATGTATATAGAGAATCATAGCTTATTGGTCATAAGTAGAGGTAATATATTGAGCTCTTAAAGCACTCAATTCACTGAATCTTACAAAATGAATGAAGGAGCAACGCATTGCACAATTAAAGGCTAACTCATAGGTTAAACTCTCCCATAAGGACCAGTTTAGTGAGTATATATACACACACACACACACACACACACACACACACACACACGCACACACACAGTACGTTTCACTAAAAAGGCAAGAGTTGCTTTATTTAACTGTTTTATATGAATCTTCCACTATATAAGCACAATATGTGGTCCAAGTGTTTCTATGCTATTTCTTCTGTGGGAGTGATTCACATTTCTGAAAACTCTTTTCTCCAGATTTCCTGAAACTAAACTCTGATCTCTATGTGGCTCTTTGAAAATCCATTGATAACATCATTTCAAATAACAGATTGATTCAATCATCTAGTTGTGTTCCCTCAGAACCTAACGTGGAACAAGCTCCAGACCCGCGATGAGCAACTCTTTAGGCTGGCGAATCCCATCAGGACGAGCTGAAGTAACCGATATGAAGGATGCATGGATCGATGGGTTTTAGAGCTCAGATCACATCTGACAAGCCGCAGCTCTTCATGCTCCGATGACCAAGTGGCGCCAAATGTACTGAAGGAAAAAAAAAATCCTTGTGGAGTGATGCTTCTGCTTGTGATGTGTGAACACCTGAATGAGTTAATCACTCTGCCTGTTTTCTAAATGAAACTCCCCTTAGCTCTGATCAAATACATTTTCTTAGAAGTTGTTGATGTGGAAAAGTGGCTTCAAGCTAAACCAATGCAGACTGAACGTTACGCACTTTAACTGGACTATAGTTGCAGCATTGAGGGTACAGCGGTAAATTATCCAGGAAAAGTAATCTTCTCTTCATGTGTCAAAGTGGAAAATACTCATGACAATGTCCGTCAAATAGAGCCGTTGATTTTAAAATCAAACATAAGGAAGCTAGAAGGAATGTGATATTAAACTAGTCAGAAATGTCATTTATGTGCCTTCAAATATGTCAAAAAATGTCTTCAGGAAAGATTTAAATGTCCTAACTTCCTCCTTACGTCTCCCTATGCTTTACATTTCTCTCTATTGTCTTCAAAGATTAGCAACTTGTTGAATTCATAGACATAATATCACAAAATATTCTCTGGATGAGCCCTTTTCAGGGGTACCAGAGCACAGAAATAAATGGAAGTAGAGAAAGTGGCTGTGGGTTGTTGGAGGATAATCTTTCCAAATTCTCCACCTCTCAGACTGTCCAGCTCTCCGTTCTTCTCATATCTCAGTCTTCCTGCAGAAAGCTGACTCGTTTTTCACAAGAAGCTGAAAATTCATCCGTCTACCAGGTCTTTTATCTCCAGACTGGAGAATCCCATTAATGCCCTGTCCCACTCTGGACTGTTAATCACACTGAGAGGAAACGTCTCTTTATGTCCCTAGCACCATCTGTTCTGATGAAAGCAGCCGGATGTGGCGCATTATGCGCTGACACGTCAAAACTGCTGCCCAGTGGCGGTAAACAAGTGCTATTTCTGCAAGAAGACAAGGGGGGGGGGGGGGGGGGAGCTTAAATGTGACAATATTTCCAATCAATTAGATTAGTTTGTTCATCTTTCACATGAAGGCCAGTTTTGGGTTTTTTTTTTTTGTTTGTATTTTTATTATTGTTTCAAATTTCCACCTTAATATGACAGCTGTTCAGTGAAAAATGCAACAAATCAATGCTCAGGAGGTTGAATTTAACAGAAAAAAATCCAAAAATGCACAGATTTTCTTTTTTTTACTTTTAAGAACACGTGAAAGAGTGCTTTAAAGTTGGGGGAATAAATTATAGTAGCCCAATATCTGCTTTTTTAAATCTATTTTTGTTGTATTTATATGTATCCGATATGCCCAATACTTTAAATACTCAATTTCTGATACCAATATTGTGTCCCCCTCTCAAAAAGAAACCTAAAACATTTTAGGTCACCAACATCACATTTCTTCAATCATGCATGCTTAAATTTTAAATATTTAAATATTTTCCATGCAAAATAACAACAAATTCAATTCAGGAATAGTGCCTTATTTACAGCATTTTGTCTCCAACAGCAGCTGAATCTCAATGACCCTAAGCGTGGCGCTAAGATGTGTGTATAACCCATGTCGATGGTACAACCCCAACTGCAGGCATCAATGGAACAAAGTGGTTTATTCGTGTGCTTCGCTGTGCGCCACTCCACACAGGGAGCGTCTCAGCCGCAGAGCG